ATGCAAGTGCAATACCAATGGAAAACAAAAAAAGTTTATTCCAGTTAGAAGGTATCGTGCATTGAATATCTTTGAATGATTAAAGTATAAACTATAAAGTTATAATGCTACAAAGAACAGAAAATGGTAAAGCAGTTATAAAAATTTCAATTATCAAAAACTTTGTTTTTTTTTTTGATGTAACATACAGTTTACGATGCAAATTTTCTAAAACTTTTTTAGAAAGATTTTTTTTTTTAATGCATCATTTATTTCCAGTAAGTGATTGATTGGTTATATTTTCATTAAATCGGGTTTATGATCTAGATTAAGTACTTCCCAGAACAATTTCTATTGTTTACATTACTCCTTGATATAATTGGGATTGAATCTTTTTTTTTTTTTTTTTTGAAATTACTAGACAAAACTCATAGATCTTTGAATTAATTATATAAATTTAATTACAAAATCGAAATTTTATAGCCAGAAAAAGATTCACTGCAAGATCTTGGTAACGATGATTTATTTGGTGATTTGGCTGGTATGGATCCAATTGTTCTTAGTAATGTCAATGAATTAACATCTTCATTTGAAAGTATTGAATTGAGAAATATGGAACCGGAAAGATTAAATACGGATGAACAACCGACAACAGAATGAAATCTCGTCCATTATTCAAATATGAATTGCGATGATAAGTGCTACTGCTGTACATTTTGCCATCTGCTGCTTCCTCTCTCGCAATACTACTAATTAAGTTTTTTTTTTTTTTTACATTACTAACTCTTTCTTAGTTTATATATGTATATATATATTTTGCATGATATAATTTCTAGTTTATTCAGGATGTCAAATATCATTTTTAAAACATTTTTATATTCATAGCTATAAAATTTTTTTATTATACTCGTTATTTTTATTAGTTCGTAATAGCATAACTCCAAGTTTCATTTGTTCATCTGGTTTAATTTTAAAAAATTTGCAAAATCATCGTTCTTTGATTCAGTGATAGATGCTGCTCAGAAGAAAAATGAGTAATTTGGAGAATTTTTTTTTTGAAAAAATTTCTGATGAATTTTTTTCTTTTTTTTTTTTTGTTGCATAAATTTTATGCTTCCAGAATCATATGAAAGAAATTTAGTTGTATTCATTCATTACTCATCAGCTAATGATGTAACATTTAGAATTTGATTGTTTAAATTCTGGCTTAAATTTTCGAAATGTCATTAACAATTTTTTTTTTTTTGTACATGTATAGTTTTATATCAATAACATGCCCCTTAAAAAGAAAGAAAAAATTAAAACTAAAATTGTATGAAAGCATAACGATCAAAAATGATGCATGCAACAAAAGCATAAACTTATTTAAAACAAAGTTTAAATATGAAAAGAATTATACATTAAAGTATATTCTATAAGAGTCTGTCATAATATTTCAAATAAGAAAACAATGATTGACATAGTATATAAAATATAAATGTCATACCGATGTGATTACATAATTTCATTAAGAAAGTTCATTATCAGGACAATATTAGTTATATATTGTGTATATCATTTTTGTTGGTTTATTTAAAACAAATGATAGAGGGCTATTTTGTGCCTCTGTAAATTCTTTTTTTTTTTTTTTTAAATTTTTATTTTTTGTATCTCTCGAATAATATACTAAGCAATTATTAATATAATAATTGCTACGAACTATTTTGCTCTTTTTTTCTTTCCGGGTCATATTAAATATGTACTTAAATAATTTTTTTCTTTGTATTTGTTCATTTTAACTTCATATTTATATCTATGTAAGTGAAGGACGGAGAGAGAGAGAGAGAGAGAGAGAGAGAGAGAGAAAATTCATTATTCGGGTACTTTTTGTCTACTTATAATCTATCCTTTCTGTCATATTTTTTTTTTCAAATTTCTCAGCTATGAATGCCCTTTCTTTTTCCTTCATCTTTATCTTAAATATCTGAGCAAAACATTTCATAGTGATACTTTAAGTTTTCATATCTTTTTCAGAATTGCAGTTTTTGTATAAATTGAATTTCACAAATGTTAAATCCGAAAAGTGGTAATAAGGAAATGAAGCTAACAATAGAAGTATTGAAGCTAAACTCTTTTTTTTTTTTCTGAAATCATACTTCTCTCTCGACATACTTTAAAGAAAAACAGATTTTTCACAAATATAACAATCAAAGAATAAGTCTTAAGTTTCACTAGTAGTTTTTGCTAATACCAGTTAAAATAAGATTCTAACAGTCAGTTCTTATCATACTTTTAGAAGTTTGGTGTTATTAAGAAGCATTTGTTTGCACAATAAAATGAATCTAAAATCATATTATTGTTCTCTTAGAATGCTTCATTTCCTGTGTTATTTCATTTTCATTTTTTCTGTTGTAATTCCATTTCCACATTTTCATCTTTTCTATCGTAGTTACTTATTTCGCTTTCAATTTTTTACCACTTTTTCTTCTATCATAGTTATCTGCATTATTTTTCTTTGACCATTTTTGACTACTTTAATAAATATTTCTGACTTCGAATTTTTTAAATGATTTTGTCATCTTGTGCACGATGTTATTTTGCTTATATTGTTCATTTTATCACCTTGAACAATTATATCTAAGCTAGTATTTATGAGTGGAACATTTCAATTTCTTAATTTCAAACATGCATCCATTTTGTGATCACTATTTCTAATTAAATGATATTGTATGTGAAATTTGAATAAATTTCCCAAATTCATGTGTTAAGTTTTTCTCTTACATCGTTAACTCTAATAGCTGTAGAGTTCTTTCACTATGTATTTTTTTAGAAAAGCTACTTGATGACTAAGTCTAGGAATATGATATCTCTACTTAGACCACTAAAAAATGGTTCTAGAGAATCAACTACCCCAGGGTTGTCTCTGGTATCACTTTATACTAGAAATACATGAAAATGAAAAACTATAAATAGTTTTTATGCAAAAATGCTACCATCGCAACTTCTGGTTTTGAAATCCTGCCTGTTTCTTTATAAGAGCTTATCCTATTACAAATAATTTTTTCAGAACCCCAAATTTGATTATGTCACATATTTCCTCAAAAGGTTTTCATTGTACTAGTAAACGATTCGACTTCTGCTGAAATCAGAAAGTCTTTTAATAGCCAACACTTTAAATTTGTTAATATCTTAACAGTGCAAATTTTCAATCCTCACCACAAAATTCTCTGTAATAAACATGGAACATCTCTTAATAACTGGCGGCGTTTCACAGAACGAACATTTACCACCGATAATGTAAGTTTTCATCGTATTTTCATGTAATTTCACGTAATTTCTCTTCCAAAAAAAAATCAAGAATATGCTAGATAAACTACTACTGTCAATATTGGTAAAGTTGAATAATTTCTCGAGATTTCGTATTCTGTTATACTCCTTTACCTTCTCTTGTAAAGGACTGATAATCTGTTCGACATATAAACTAAATTAAACGTTTCATGTCTGCTACCATGAGCCAAAAGATATATTTCAATAACTCGGACAGTTATAGTAATACTATAAAAATCATCCATCCAATTGATCTGAACTATTGCTAATCCTAATTTTCAACTAAGACCTTGATTTTTAACTTTTTTAAAACTTGTTCGAAAATTTCATTAGAAATTTAATTCAGCACGGTTAAATTTGAACTACTTTTGAAGATTCATACATTTTTTCGCGACAAACTAGGCAAAACACATCCAAAAAAACATTCGAAAATCATAAAGAAATGCTTCCACTCTTTATGTGATCGTTCTCGCATTCCATTCACTGCAGCAAATTCCACGTCTACAAGGTGTTAATAGGGCATTAATTGATTATTCCCAAAATCCCATGCAAAAAGTGTCCTAAAAATAGATAACGCACAGATTCTAGATCCAATTAATTCCATTTATTTACTTTTCCAAGTTAATTAATTATTCAAGTATCCTCGTAGATAATAAATGCATATTATTCATTCTTATGCAACATTATAAAGTTAGAGATCTAACAAAATTAAAATATACTGAAAGAAATGGCATTCAGTACCAAATTTGATATGAAATAATGTGATTTTAAATAAAAATTGTATTATAATCCCTACTCACTGTAAATTTAGCTTTTAACTATTGATAATTATTCGTAAACTATTTCATACAATACATTGCATCATTAAACACATTAAATTATTCTAAGTTCAATAGAATTCAAAATAAAAATAGAAAGGATGAATATCGTTGTTGAAAATGAACGGTTTTCAATGATGACAAGTGACAAGCGACAAGTGACAAACAACTGACATAATATTATCAAAATAGTCGGCTAAAGCTGAACAGATTGCTTAAAATCAATTTCGCTTCAAGCTCATTCATTCCTTTCCTATACGTTTATGATTTTAAGTCAGCAGAAAAGAATTAAATTTTATAAAAAACGTACATTTCATATAAAAATTTGTAATCTTTATGAAAATTTAATATTCTGTCAATTTCGTTTTTCAATTCTTTTCTCACTCCCTATTATTAATATATAGTATATTTGTTTTCATACTTCAAAACACTTTATCAACCCAAAACAATAACATGGCACCCTCTACCACCCATCCCTCTATCAATCCCAAAAACAGCATAGGATGGATACGAAATTCATCACAAAAGCCCTCACAGTTCAACGAATTTCCATCATCGCTGAGCAGCGATACATTCTTTTTTTGTTTTGCCGAAATTTTATGGTTCGCAACTGGTTGGGATGTGCTATGAAAATGTTTGTCCCGGGAGGTGCGTTCTTTGAGAGGAGTATGGATTTAACTATGGTTGAGATTTGCTGGGTGTGGAGATTGTCTAGAGGTTTACTTATGTTTATGAAGTGATTTGAATTGTTTTATCATTTTTAACGTGTCTTTAAATTGTCGGTGTTATAAGTTGTTTTAATTTGTATTGCACAAAAGGTTATTGTACATATTATGATTAGACTAAAAGTTTTTTGTTTAATTTCAGGTTGTAAAAGAAATTTTAGAATTCGTTTCAATGTATTTTACGAATTGGGAAGAATTTAGTAAAGCTGTAGATCGATTGTATACTAGCAATCCAACACGATGCAGGTTTATTTATTGATCAGAATTTTAAAAGTCATCTCGAGGAAAGTTTTAAAAGGGTTAATATTGAATGTCTGACTCATCATGGCAATTTTTTTTCTTCTTGAGAGATAAGCCTAGTTTGTATTCCCAAAAACTAAATAACTGTCAATGTCAATTTATCCTCCTAATCGCTGGTTAAGCTAAACAGAATAATTCAACAACTATAATTTCCTACTAACCTTAAGAGAAACAAGCAATGTGTATAGATTGTGATCGATCAATATTTGAGACTACTCAATTCAGAATGAGAGCATAGGTAATGAGTTAAAGAAATAGAAGAGTGTAAATAGTGCTGAACAGTTTATTAAATAGTCCTGTTTGTTTTATATTGCATACATCACTTTCTGTTTTTTTAATATTGGCTACTCATCTGATCGATCTATCCTAATGCCAGAATCAGAGAAAAAAGAATCTGTGATAAGAACGTAGTTCTGTAGTGATATGAGAGGGCCAATTCTAAAAAATTTCAAGAATCATCAGTGACAAGTAGCGGCAATCGATTCAACTATTAGTGATTAATGACATGCTCCCTTAGCATAAATATTTTGTGTACTTATGATCTTCGTTACTTGCTTAGAGAGGCATTATCAACTTGATTAATATCTTTTATTATTCATTAATTACTTCAAATTGAAGTTTTTTGTTATTAATTCTCTAATTATTTGCGCTCGTTGCAGATTTGTAACCAAATATAACCATAAAAAAGGTAAAATGACACTGAAAATGACAGATGATGTGGTCTGCTTGCAATATGATACGGATCAGATACAGGATGTTAAACGATTGGAAAAACTTACAGCAACATTAATGAGGCATATTGTTTCCAAATAGACTTTTTTATGTCACTGAATTTGATAGCAGTATTTCTGATTCCATTTTGCCAGTTTATGTTTACGAATATTTTTTTCCATAAATAGGATTTTTCGTTTTTTTTTTTTTTTTTTGATGTGTGGATAATATGAATTAAAATTTGTGCAGTCGCGGAAAGTTCGAGAGTGACCTGAATTCATATACGTATGAATTTATTTGTCATATTAGGAATAATGACTGTAAACTGTAAACCCTATGTTAATATAATAATATAATATTATATACTCTTGTTGATTTGAATTATTTATTTTTGCTTGCTTTGTTGTTTTATTTTTATTACTACCATTGCATTTTCTTATTTGTGTTCGTTAAAAATTTTACATTTTCTAATGATCAACATAACAAACATTGATAGAGAAGCAAACTAAGAGAATCCTTTCATGCTTCATCTACGTAATAACTCTAGTATTATTTATAGATGCAGAGAAAATACTGCTTGCTTTTGAATTTTATTTACTGTTTTTTCTTTTCTTTTATACATCTATAATCTAAGTCTGTTGATGGTATTCCTTTGCTTTTTGATTTCATAAAGTATTCTACAAGTAAAGAATTAATGATATTAACATAAGCGCAGAGGAAATACTGTTTTTTTCTTTTTTTTACTCTTGAGCATGCAAGCCAGTTAATGAATTATTTCCCAAATTCTATTTCCAAGATTTTAGAATAATGTATTGTGTATCTCTCTGCTAGTGATAGCTAATGATCAGCCTGATAACAGACATTTGATTCTATCATGCCAATACCTTGATCTCATTTAACTGCCATTGCTCTGAAATAGTAATAAAACTGATATGCTATTTTCATCGAACATTTATTCTTCAATTAATTCAATTAGCTTCTATTTATCTTTACTTAAAAAAAATGAAAAAAAAAAAAAGTTTGCTAAAATATTTGCAATATTAATTGCAGATCATTTTATATTCATTACGAAGATGAATGATGTGAAGTTTGTTCTTGTAAAATGAAAACAAACTTTTTTTTGTTGGCAAAAAAAAAAAAAATGAAGAAAAAATTTAGTGCATTGCCAGTAAAAGTGCCTGCTTCTCCCGGGAAAGGAGCTTAAAAGAGGATGTGCTTAGTCATCATCATTGTCTTAGGAATATCACTAAAATTTCTTTTCTTTCTTTTTTTTTTTTTTTTTTTTTTCATTTTTCTCTCAAATAATAAACAGTTGCTGCTTGGAAATGTTCCATATAGTTTTTCTTTATTTCGCTAATTTTACTGTATTATTTGATATATTTGATTGTTAAATAGAAAATTTAAGCATTTCTTTATTAATTATACTATAAATTTACATTATTTTTAATAACAATTAATAAAAATGTCTCATAAAGTAATAATAATTCAAGAAAATTCAAGAAATAATTGTTGTTTGTCTATTCAACTAAGATTATCATCCATTTTTTAATTTAAAAATTTTGGAATGATATGAGATGATAAATTTGCGTGAAATTTCTAACGTGTAAAATGAATTTAATTTATTTTAATTTCATGCATGTAACAATTAAAATGAAAAACTCTTCGACTATTGATCCGTTTAAAATTTTGTTATTTAAAATTGGCGATAACATATCTGAGTAACATATAAGCCTTATTTGAACTCACATTATGCTATCATTGCAAAAAGTTTAGAGGTCAAAGTTTAAAAGAGGTCAACTATATCATATTATTTAGCTAATATTTTCAATTTAATATTTCATTGTCTTATCTTTTATTTGTAAATAAATATAAATCTATGTATTTTGTGTATGTCTGTATTTGTATGTATGTATGTGTGTGTATGTGTGTGTGTGTGTGTGTGTGTGTGTGTGTGGGGGGGGGGGGGGTGTGTATTTGTATACATAGGTAGGTATGTTTGTAGTTTTATTTTTTTTTGCATTCACTGAGCCATTAACTGTTACTGCTACCCATCTTTTCATCATTATTTTCTACTATTTTAAATTCATCAAAAAACGAATGACTGGAATGAAAAAATTAAATAAATTAGATTATTTATTTAAATGAATTAGATTCATTAATAAGTTAAATTAATTTATTAATTAATTAAGTTAGATTAGTTTATTGATTAAATAAGTTAGATTAGTCCATTAATTAAGTAAATTATTAAAAGTACTAGTTTTTTTTTTTTTTTTTTTTTGTATATTTAATAATGTGAAAATGAAATGAAATATTATTGAAGAGTATGCATCTCTATGAATAAATTAATTGTAAATCTATTTAATATTAACTAAATTATTATTATAAACAAATTTCCATTTTATTAGTTAATAATTAATGCAATTATAAAATTAAAAAAACAACAATAAATTAATGAAATAAATATGAAAAGAAAAAAAAAAAAAAAACATTCACAATTAGTTGCTAAATAAAACATTGTTTAGAATATAGCGAAGAAAGAATTGAAGAGAAAATGAATGATTGAAAAATTTTTCAGTTTCATTGAAAATGCGTTAAAAATGAATGGTAAATAGTTTTGAAATAAAATAAAAGAGTGAAGAGAAAAGAGAAAAATATATTAAAGCTTAAGCTTAATGTCTAGAGTTCAAGCTTATCCTCAATATCATCACACATCACAATGTCAGAGGAGGAAGGAAAATTCATCTCATAACGGAAAATTCAGGAGGAGCAAATTTTGTGCTCCTTTCATCTTTCATTTTAACTTTCTCTCATGTTTAGTGGTAGTAGTAGCAGTAGTAAGTGATGATAGTAGTAATAGTATGTGATAAAGAAAACCTGAAATTATTTCATATTTTACTTTTAGAACTTATATTAATTAATTAGTTAATTAATTAAGCTTTTAAAATAATAAATGTAATAAATGATAATTGATATTTAAATCTTTTGTTATACTTTTTATGATAACAATGAATTTATAAATTTAATTTTTAAAGCAAACATTTTGGCTTTCCTTGCAATAAATATTCAATGGCTTCATCTTCAACAAATACAGCCACAGCGTCAACACCGCCAACAACGAATAATACCGCACCACTTCAACCAATCCGTCAAATGCTTCTACTTCCACCTGCTGCACGACCACCTGAATTTGAAAATCCATTGGAAAAAATTGAACAATTGCTAACATGTCCAATTTGCTTGGATCGTTACAAGTGAGATTTTATAAGTTAATGAAAACAAAAAATTGAAATTATTTTAAAGTTATTATATGAAAGTATACATTTATCATTTAACTTACACTACTAGCTAACTAACTAACTAATTAATTAACAATACGACTTTTTGGATGAATGTGGTTAGGTAACTTTCAAAAGATTTTTTTGCTTATTAATATATTCAAAATCAATATTAAATTTATAAGTTAAAACATCAGCAATTTAAATTGTTGCAAATTAAAATGGATAACAAATTTTTATTGTCATTTTTCAAATAGTTTAATGTTTATTTTTCACTATTTACTCTGTTGTCTCCAATTTCAATCAATTCTTTTTTTTTTTAATCAATTTCAATTATAATATTGATCTCATATCGATGGCTTTTTTTTTTTTTTTTTCGTTCAACTTAAGATTGTTTTTAAAAATATTTGTCTTTTCCTATCACAAAAAGTAATTTTTACAAATCTTTCTATAAATTTGCTTAATGACAACTCTGTAATCTATCAATCATTTTTATTTCGATGACAAATAACATTTTGTGAAATACTAAAGTATCACTTTCTGTCATTCCAATCCCTACAATTGTGCTAATCAGCTGAGATGGTAAAAAGTTGAAAATTTAAAAGATGAAATTTAATTAGTGTAAGTGAGGTATTCTTGTCATTTGATATTTGCATCATTCCTTATCACATATCATTGTAATATAATTCAATTACGAGAATTAAATATAATTCACTCATATTTTTTTCTTGCTAATTAAAATGAATCAAATATTATATTATTATCATTTTAAAGTCAAAAAAAAAAAAGTATTAATAAAATGATTACTTTACAAAATTTGGCATATATTACACATTTTGTTAAAAATATAAATTAATAAATATGATTCTATAAATCATTTTATATGAACGAATTGTATTTAAGCTAAATAATTTAGAATGGTCAATCATTATTAGATAACTTTTTGAAATTAGATATAATAAAAAGAAAAATAAAAATTGGAATATATTCTGAATTAGATATAATAAAATAAAAATTGGAATATCTTTTTTTTTTTTTTTTTTGTTTTTTCAAAAACCAATAGCACTTTTATATTTGATTTTGTTTTATTTATTTTAACCATTACAAAATTCTATCTATTAAATAAACGAAGAATATGAGATGATGATAATGATGATAAAGGAATAGAAAAAAAAAAGGAAAAAAAAAAAAACAAATTTTCAAATATTATTCTTTTTTAATATAATTTGATCGTTTATCACTTAGAACAAAACAATTCAATGTTTATTCATTTAATTTCATCTATTTAATATTCAATAAATTTTGAAAATTTTTCATAGAAAAATATCTATAAGTAATTATATTGTTCTATTTGAAAAATTTCTATACGAAACACGCAGAAATGTCCATCTAATCTTTGAATAATAAATAATTTAAATTAATTTAATTTATACAGCGATGAAAAAAAAGTTATTTGTTAAATGTAAACAATTTTTTGCTATCATTACAACATTATCTCCCATAATCAGTAACAGTTATATTTGTTGACAATTAATTTATCAATTAATTTTCATTTAATCATTTCAATAAATTTCATTGTTCATTTTGTCATTTTTTTTATTTTGCTGATTTTAAATGAATTTATTTTGTTTTGTTTTGTTTTTTTTTTTCACTTTAATATTACTAACATTAAAATTCAAAATGCTTCATTTTCCTTTTTCTTTTTCCTTTTTTTTTTTTTTTTTTTTTGTTTTTGTTAATTTATTTTCACAATGAGAGAGAAATTTCTAACTGAAATTATATTTTCTTTCATTAAAACAAAATGCTTTCAAGAAGTTTTTTTTTTTT